CAAATAAAATTAAGCACAGAAAGGTACGTTGGATGTGCCCATCAGCCACACCAGAGGTGGGGCACTCAGCCTAGGATAACTAAGCCCTGAGGAACTAAGCTGTCCGTTGTAGGCTACAAAAATGAGAGCTGGGATATTTAGCAATAGTGGTGGTTTTGAGGTTAATTTTTTCTTGGTTTTGGGTTGTGTGTGGTGCGTTGTTGGGGGCTTTCTGTTTGTTTGAAGGCAAATTTTAGCACACTCCTCTTCTGGCTTACAGAAACATTCAGGACATGTTTCTGGACTTTCACTTTATTCTGCATTGTCATTTTCTGTTGGCGTAGCACAGTACCCATCTGGCACAACACTGCTCTTTGTGCTATGAATCTGAATGCTGAACTTGCAGAAGATAATACAGTCTTAGGACTATTTTTCATTGTAACACTTTTTTATATTGTGTCTGGGCTAAAGGGGAAAGAAAGCAGCCATAGTCAGTCTTGTCTCTCCTTTTTTTCATTCATAAATGAAATGTAATGAATGAAAGTGTTTTTCATAAAGACCACATATACGACAGAGTACGTTGTGCTTTCCTAAATTTGAAGGAAGTATTTGAAACTAAACTTGCCTGTCCTTGTAAATTCCTGTTGTCTACCTTCTCTTTGGCATTTGAAAGCCATTTTGAAGGCAAAGGAACTCTTCCAGGAATATATTCAAAGCTATTTCACTTTTGATCTGCTAAGACTGTGTTTTAAACCCTTTAATATATATTTGAGTGAACTAAATTATGGCCAGCGTATACAAGTCAGAAATGACAAGGCAGTATGTAAAGATAGTGTATAGCTTTCCTTCCCCCTTCATTCACCCTGGACCATCATCTGAGTGGGGCACTAGGCTAAGACTATTTCCTGCTTCTGTCTCAGATTTCCCTGTACAAACCAGAGTAAATCAGCTAAGCCTAGCTCCTCCCATGCTTACCTATGCAGATTAAGCAAATTAGGGACCAAAATGTGTTTCCACCTGAACTAAGACTGTGTAAATACAAACACATCTGTAACAGTTAGTTAGAAGTACTTATTAACAAGCATGTTGCAACAGTGGTAGGGGTGATTAGGTGTGTGCATTTTAAATCTTTTCATTTCTATATTTGAATGAAAACAGGAGAATCAGCCTTGGTATGTCTGAAAGGTACAGAGCAGAAACCAAAGGGCGGTACGCAAAGGTAGCTTAAAGATTTCCTTTACACTCCTACATGATCTTCTGTTTTAGATGCTTCACTAAAATGCGTTTTCTGCTTAAATGAACACCCTCCTGCCTCTCAGAACCTCTCATGGGCTTTCAGCAGTGTTTTGCCCGCACAGGCGGGGTACCTAAATCTTCCCTGAGGCACAGCTTGGATCAGAGGCACTTGCCTTCCTTTACCCAGGGGAGCTTTATTTCTCCACCGGGAGCTGGCAGACTCTGTTTCCACACACCTCAGCACAGGGCTGGCTCCTTTTCTGGTCGATCCCCTTGGGACACCCGCAACGGCAGCCAGCAGAGTGGCAGAAACCCAAAGCCCTCATCTTCTCCTGGTGTCTCTTGCTGTGGTTCTTGGGAAGCACGTCTAGCAGTGCTACTCTTCCCACCCCGTGCGCTATCGACATGTTGCTGTTGTAGCTGTGCTCCCATCCTCTGGGGTGAGGCCTGGGGCAAGGGCAGCAATATGGGGGAAAAGGACGGTGCAGCCAGTTTGGGGACCTGACACCTGTGAACGCAGCATGTTGCCTTAGGGATAGCCCAGCCCCAAAGCACGCCTGGCTCCCCATGCCCGCTGCAGGGTCCCTGAATGCTGCTTCAACCAAGATCATCCCATTGTGTATCCACAAGGGACTAGAAGCCTCCCAGGCAAAATCTCTCTTTTACCATAGCAGTAAGGATGAGCTGTGTATAAGCCCCTCCGAAAGGGCTCTGGCACTGAGTTGAGGACTACCCTTCAGCGCTTGTCCCATGTCACACTGGCAGGCACTGCAGCACAGAAATGACGTGGCATGCTTGCGGAGCTCGTTCAAGATCTTTAATGATTCATATCCTCCTTCTGCCAATTAATGTATCCAATGCAGTGAGTGGAGCTAACAGGCCATTTTGTATTGGCCAAAGAGCTGTCCCGAAATCTCAGTCCCTTGTCTGTCGTACTTACTTGTGGAAATTATGATGGCACAAACAGAAGTTCAGGTAATGCAGGATAAATAGAAGATGGAGTTGAACCCTTAAGGAAGAAAAGAATATTTTCATTTACAGGTTACTGGTAATAGTAACTCTGAAAAAATAAAGTAGACATTCAGATATTCCCCTGTCATACGTAGCCAGATTTATTCCTAAATGGAATGTTTTCAAAATTTCCAGTGGCATTTCAGCTGTTCGTTAAAGTGTGCTGTAGAATATAGTGACAATTTATTACACAGCTATAAAAGCAGTAGTAATCATTATAAATGCAAACCTTGTGATGTTTCTTTGTCTATGCTTTAAATCCTTTTTTTTTTTCTCCATCACTACGTCGAGTGAAACAGTGATTGTAGCAATCAGCAAGCAAGGGGCCACCTCCTCCAACAGCTGCCAATATCCTAGTCTGTTTTATACAACAGATGGGAGGTATGTGCAGGCTAAGATAAGTGGCCACCTGTAAAATACGGTTCTAGATATGTGCCAAACTGGCCAGTCGTATAGTCAGGAACAAAGCTAGTCAGAAAAGGAAGGCAGCTGTGCTGACCACCCACATCTGAAACAACAGGGAAACATTTACTCTCATGGATGAATGCCCTTGTTTCAAGCAGAGTTGGGAAAACGTTGTTATGCAACACTAACGCATACAGAAAATTAATTTCTGTACCTTTTGTGGTGGCTTTCCATGACACCTGCAGCATCTGATCTGTACTCTGGCTGCCACAGCAAAATCTTGCTGCTATGGGTACCTGCATCTTCTCATACTAGTTCCAATCTTTAAAGGGCACCTGCCTCAGCACTTGCAAATTTCTGTCTGGCAATATCTGTGCACTGAATTTGGTGATGTGCTGCAGTCTTCCTGTGAGCTCAGCTAATCAGTGAACAGCGACAGCCCCAGGCGACGTATTTGACTAACTGGCAGCTAATCAAGCATATTTGAGTTTTGCATGTCACATATTGGCAGCAAATTGTTCACAACATATTCATAAAATACATTTTGAATTAATTTCAGAAATTTCAGGCAATGCTCATCAGTTTACAGATCTGCAGGGTGGTGAAGTGGCTCGCATGCATCTGATAAATTGTCCGTTGAATTATTCATTCTATTTTATCTTTTTTAGTTTTTTATTTCTTTATTTTTTATCAAATAACAGACAAGAATTTTTTTTCCAAGAGTTCCGTGGTTAGTGTTAGTTATCAAAATGTTGTAGCTAAGCGCTAGTAACGGTGACTTTTTCATCATTTTCTCTTCCTTTTTTTGAGTTTGGAACACCACTAATTATGATGTTTAAAAAACTTTCTACTTTTGTCATGTGGAATCAAATGGCGTAAGGAGTCAAAGCGTATGAATATGGCTGCTGTGAGTGTTGCACTATATGTACAGTGAAAACGGCAAGCAAAGGCTTTATCTTCATCTTGTGACAGGAATATTGAGTAATTAGCATAAGTTTACGTATATTTATTAGTCAGGTAATTAGCAGCCAGAGAATACAGTGTTTTAGAGGTGACCTAGATTTCATTACGGTATTGTACCATTCAGAAACAGACCTAGTTTCTGAACTACTTAGGTGTGCGATTACACAATGGAATTGTCCTCCTAAAATACGTTGACAATTACCAGAATTGTGCATGCCACTGGGAAATTGCTCATACTAATTACCATCGTTAGCTACTTGAATACAAAATATCTGCAAATGCTCGAGGAATTAGACATAAAATGGATTCTCTTCTTTCAGGTCAGCTGTGTATGTATTTCTAAAGACTAGGGGACCAAGATTAAGCCTGATATTAGGTTACAGATTTTTCTTTCATATACCTGCAAACATCCATGTGAGATTTACATTGAAAAATGGAAAATTTAGTTAAAATTTTAATTTGTTTACTTCGTACTACTTGGAGAATATTAAAGATATTCCAATAAAAATATTGAAGAATCACCCTTTCAATACTTTATCCATTGATTAATTATTTTAAAAGAAATATCCCCAAAATTAATTGTATTGCACAAGAGGCATGATCTGGATCACTTTCTGTGACTCACATCTTTATAGGATACCTCAGGTTCTGAAGACAGCACTTAGCCAGCATTTTCAGAGGATAAAATGTTTCGCAGGTGGAGGATTGTAGCTACACATTATAACCTTTGCTAGTTGACTCTAAGCACATACGGCAGGAGTACTGCAGTTTGTGCACATTACCTATGAGGGTTTTTTTGTTCGTTTCTGACTGCTTGTGCATCTCATCTGTCACTGGTATTGGAAAGCTGGGGAACGTTATGACTTCAGAAATACAGCTGTAGGTTTTAAACTTCTAATTTGACATCAAGTCATGTAAAGCTACTTCCCTAGCCTACATTTTCTCAACTTTCAGCTTAAGCCAGGAATAAAATAAAATTTAAAGCACATCAAACTTTACCAGGTGCCCCAAGTTCTTGGAATGATTTCCCAGCTTAAGATGTACTATGAGTGCATTTGCATGTTGTGTATGATCTGCCTACGCTATTTGCCCATACACCCTTGAAAGCTCCATGAGAAGCAGACCCATTACACGGGTACATATGCGGGTGTCAGAGTCACAGTGCCAGCAGGTCTGATCCGCACCAGGTTTTCAGAGAGGAACAACCCTTTAGAGGAATAGAGCCCTCACAGTTCCTACAAACTGCATTTCGAGAAGTGGATGTTCAGCTGATGTGTTTAGGATCATGCAGCCAATCTTACTGTTGGGCCTCTCCCTTCTTTACCCCACTCCTGGTGAGGCCATTTAGATGGTGAAATATTTATTTTCTTTTTTTTTCTTTTTTTCTTTTTTCCCAAACCTCCCAGGATATCCAGCGAACACTCGCCAAAGCTTCAGATCCGGAGCCACAGTTACCTGAGGGCAGTGAGCGAAGTCTCCATCAACAGGAGCCTGGACAGCCTGGACCCCGCGGGGCTGCTGACGTCCCCCAAGTTCCGCTCCCGCAATGAGAGCTACATGAGAGCCATGAGCACCATCAGTCAGGTGGGTGACAGGCACCCGCAGCGGCCCGGAGGGCATCCGCCATGCTGGACACCGGCTGAGCCCTTGCAATAGAAGAAACTTGATTTTGCTTTAAGCGGAATCGGTCTGTTGCATGCCACACATTTTCAAAACGTTTTTAAGAAAACGGAAATATTTTCACACAGTCCTCTTTTTGAGAGAGTAACATTTGATAGTGCCATAACCTGCCCTTTGCAAATGCATGAGTGGCACAACATACAATTCATTGGAAGGAGCAGTCTCTTTTTTTTTTTTTTTTTTTTCCAAAAGCAGGTGCTCATCAACAGTGTCTTTAAGCAGGGTTCTCTTAAGGATCTTGTGCTTAGTAACTGAAATCAAATTTTCTGAAATGCCTCCAAAAAAAAAAAAACATGTTCACATGCTGACTGAGATGCTAAAGTAAATTAAGTCCATAGTATTTTGTATTTCACAATATTATTAGTATTTTATTAGAATTTTTAAAGCTTTCTTTATGCTATTGTATACATTCTTAACCCCATGCACCTCTGAACTTTTCACCTATATAGTACAAACATCGCAGTGCAAAGGTATTATTGCCCAGCAATTCTGTAAGATCTGTTCGTGCTCATTCTAAACTAGAAAAAAAATAAAGGCTGCTGTGACACATTCAGTTTATGAGTTTTAGCATCATAAAACAGCCTGTCCTTGCATACAACATGCTTGTACAGTTGAATTGGTCAGGGACAGATCTGAAAGAAATGCAAAAGTGCCAGCACTCCACAAGGACAGTGGGCCAGTAGTTCATCTGCTAAATCCTGTAGCTCCTTGGTATGATTTTTGGCTTGTTTGCTTAAGTGCACCATTTGGATAAATCACTTGGATAAAAGAATTTTCTTACACTAGTCCAGAAGTGCAGCAGGGCAGGATTTGTGGTGCCAGATACCGGCCCCTTACTATTGGCATGTCAGGTCATTGCAATGTCAAAAAAAGTGTGTGACATCATTGATTCCAGGACTTCAGCTGTGGCATATAACATATATGTGCTGTTCAGAATGGAGCTGTAGTTTGAATTTCTGCGGTATTCTATATTTGGGCCTTGCAACCTTAGAGTATTCACCTGTGTATTTTATAGTGAGGCACTTTGCATAGGGTACAGGCTGATGCTCTAGAAAGAGGGTCGGGATGTACCTAGGAGGAAACAGCACTGAAATTCAGGTCTCAGAGGTAACTATATGAACATTAGGTTAGGTTACTTACTTAGCTGGACACCTAACACTTATACAAAGCTGTCTGCCAAAGAATGAGTGTTATCTGCCAATATGAAGAAGCTGGGTTTTTTTTAAAAAAGCATTAATTCAGAGATATATATTTGGGGATATGGCTATTCTCCACCATTGTAGGATTGTTATTTTTGATGTACTATCCACTACTCTTCTGTGCTCTTTTAAGCAGTTTCCCTTTGAAAAAATATGTTCTACTCTTTGAGATTTCCCTTTTCATTTATGTGTACAAGTACTCGGCATAATGTTTTCCTTGGTAAAATTCATCCTGGAAAAGAATTTCTAATGTTTTTTTTCCACCACTCTAACACAGTCTTATCTTCTCTTACAATCTTGGCCTTTTGCACGCTTGAAAACTAACAAAATCCTCAAGTGTTGGTTTCCATGTGCATGTTTCCTACAGTGATAATTATCATGCTTTAATGCCAGCTCAGGGCTCTATTCTCAGTTTAGAAACATGAGCATCCATTACTAATTAAGCCGAAGTAAATGGTTTCCAGGTTTGTAAGACCTGCAGCAAGGCCATATGCTTTTGAATGTTCTTTAACTGCATGAGCGTAAGTCTTTGTCACCACCTAGTGTCTGTTTCCACAAGGGTCTAAGGATTCCTTTGCATCTCTCGCTCTCAGCCAAAGGAGTCAGTCCAGAGATGTAGCTATACAAACATTTTTCCCCTGCAACAAAGCTGGTTCCCTTATCAGCCTCCCCTTCCCAACTGTTTGTTACCACTTCTACCCTCGAGCTTCCCAACCCCTCAGGTTTATCACTGTGATTGCCTTTGAGTTGCACTGATTGTGTACCGGGGTTAAGCTGACCTTTTTTGTTTCCTCACCCCTCAATGAAAGAGTGATTTTTTTTTTTCAGTGTAATGGTCATAATGGCCAGAGGTTCAACCTCCGCTGTGGGCCCAGGGTGAGATAAACCAGATGCTGCTACGAGGACTCCCAGCTTCCCACCAGTCTTAGCAGGAACCAAGAGCCTAAACTCTGCTGAATCTCTGCCTAAAGCCTCTGTCTCCCCTTTTTGTACATTATTTTTTCTCCCTAACAGTTGTTTCTTTGTAAAATGGGACATGTTTATATGCCATTCACCTGTTCTTCATGTGCGAAGGGATCTTCTAACGGATGTTAGCCATTGTGCCACTGTAGCTTGTGAGTGTTTGTACCGGGTAGGCCGGTGTATGGGATGTACTGAACCTGCCCGGTCTTTGCCTGCAGGTGAGTGAGATGGAGGTGAACGGTCAGTTCGAATCCGTCTGTGAGTCAGTGTTCAGTGAACTCGAGTCTCAGGCGGTGGAGGCGCTGGATCTGCCCATGCCAGGCTGCTTCCGCATGAGGAGCCACAGCTACGTCAGAGCCATTGAGAAGGGCTGCTCCCAGGATGACGAGTGCATATCACTGCGGTCCTCATCTCCCCCACGTACAACCACCACGGTGAGGACCATCCAGAGCAGTACTGGTGAGTAACAAAAAGGGAAATCCAGAGGGGTGGTGGAAAGGGAAGGTACCTTTCTGTGCAGCTCCATCAGATAAACGATGAGCTCTTCTCTGCCAGACACCAAGTCCAAAACAGAGTCTGTGTTTCACTAGGGAGCTGGACAGACTAATCAGCCTAAAACTACGCACAGATCAAGGCTGATGCAGTTGTGGTGCCTCCTACGTCCAAGCTAGTTTATTCTGGGCTAAAAGCACATAGAGGGGAAGTCCAAGGTCATGTCTCCTCTCGCTCTCCTCCCCAAAAGAGCAATCACAATTTGGCAAGGCTGAACAAGAAGGCTCTGGGTTAGCAGCTCTGCTGGCTCTTACCAGCAGAGGAGGGCCCCTCTGCTGAGTTTTTCTACTAAGACGAGGTGATCTTTGTCTTTTCTAAAAGTTACAAGTTATTGGATGTGTTGTTTAATGGCTCTGAGAGACTGTTACAGCTCTCTAGGCCATACCTCAGTGGTGGGAATGAAGAAGGGAAGAAGAGTTCTGCAGGGCAAAACATGCATGTTCACATCCTGCTGTTATTCTTTCTGCAGTTCAAACTATTCAAGCCTTGCAAGACAGAGATGTTTCTGTCTAAATGTGTGACTTACAAAACTTCCTTTTAATGTTTGAGGTTGCTTTTCTTTTGGAAATAACCATAGAATCATAGAATCATAGAATCATTAAGGTTGGAAGAGACCTCCAAGACCATAATGAATTCCAGATTCTGTAACCAAAATTAGTGCTTAAGGGGAAGAAAAAGCAAGTCAGAAACCAAAATCAAAATCTGCCTCTCTCATTCAGGAAAGCAAGAGGCAGGAACCATTACGTGTGTGTGCTCTACCCCATGGGAGGATGAGAGAGGCCCTCTTTCTTTTGACTTCTCTGCATCTGTTCTACTGCTTTACACAAGCTTCATTTACTATTCATGTACTATTCATATTCATGACTAATATTGACTATTATAAGTATTTCACTGTACCTACTATCTCTTTTCCCAGTTCTTTAATTTCTGTTTTCTGTACTTTAAACTTTTGCCTTTTTGTGTGTTATCTCACAGGTGCAGTTGTTTATACCTTGTAAGTTCCTTATCTCTCACTCCAGTCTTTTTTAAAGCCACTTGTCAATTGGTTTATGTCATCAAAGGACACTTTCAATCCTTTTACCAAAAATGTTTGGCTTAATTCATGATTATTCTAAAAGTAACAAGTTGGAAATACATTGGCAGTACCTCACAAACATCAAAGCGTTTTTAACAATTGCTGCAGAGCAGTTCTCATCTAAATCACTAAGCCTTAAGAAATAGTATTCACGTGACAACATTTCTGCTATAAAAGCAGTTCTTGCATGCATGCAGGGTTTGCACCACACCACAAAGACAGGATATACATAAGGTATGTGTACAGTATTAGCTTGTGTCAAATGTATTCTGAGGCAAAAGGTGAAGATGGGCGTTTTCAGGGGTTTTTCAGTGTGCATTTGCCTTTATTAGATCACCTTGGGTATCCCAGAGTGGTTTTTCAGTTCTTTGAGAATGGCTTTGTTAACACTTTTCCTTTATAAAAATAACTGTAATCATTAATCTAGAAGAGAATAACTATTTTTTAATTATCTTTATATAAGAGATTGTTTCTGTCATTTAGAAAAATGGTGCCTGTGTTTGGGGATGATGGTGTATAAATGGAGAAGGTTGGCTGTTATGTATCAGCCAAAAATACTGGAAAACCCGAAAGAGGAAAATCATTATTGTAAACTGTCTCTTGTTTATGCTCCTTTTTTGTAGTACAACCACAAACAGAGGCCTGGTCTCTTCTCTGGGTAGCTGGCTTTATTAAAAAATCATATGAACAAAGCTATGTTATTGAAAAATGTAATCCAGTGGGTCTGTCTTGGGTTACTGCTTCTGTAGTCAGCCCTTAAAATGCAGGGAGGGGAATGATTTGCAGCCCTCTCTTTGGGCATCCATAGAAGCATTTAAAAACTGCTGTAGGTATCCATTTTCTGCTGTGGGAATTTTACTGAGTTATCTTTCTCATTTTTTAATTCTTGGGCTCCCAAGGGCCCATCCCTTGCACTGGTAGCATTTCAGACAACTTGTCTCTTTTACTACCTGACTTACATACCACTATCCATTTAATGGGGATTAGAGCTGAATTAATTCCATCCAATGGTATTGACTACCTTGCTGTTGCCTGTGGCTGGCTCGCAGAATAGAAATAACATGAAAGATATCATTGATGGTTTCTATTAATATCTGCTTCAATAAAATGGGAAATAGCACAACAGCTAGGCAGATGTGAGGAAAGGGGAACAGTATCTCAGACTTCTCTCCACTGAGGTGATGTTTCAAATGCTTTTGTGGAAGACACAAACTACGCATTTAACATCCCCAAATGAGAGAGCTGCCCTCCTGCCCCAGAAACACCTCTGCCCATTCAACCAAGCAAGGCTCCTTTCATCAACGTTAGCAATTCCTTGAGGGATCTGGCTTTTCATTCACTAATGCACAAAGCTGTGATCATACACTGATATTGGGAATTTCTTTGACTGCTGGAAGCCGAGGAGAATGCCAACTTGATGATGATGGAAAGAACAAGAGAGCTGCCTGTCCACTGGATTCAAAATTACTCCTCCGGAGCAATGACCCACAGCTTTCCAGGGCATCTGGAAAAAAATATTAAGCAAGCACTATGGACAAAAATCACACTTACTTCTCTGCCTGTTAGCCTATGCTACGGTGGTTGCAGCCTCAGGTTTTAATTTCCTTTTACCACATAGCGTTGGAGGTTTAGTTCTGAAATTAGGAATACATCGCTACTGGTGTAGCTGTTCAGTTCCTGAGGATGTGCTCAATCTAACTATAAATCCAGTGCTAATGCTCTAGCTGTGGCATAGAGCTCAGCTACAGGTGACTGCCCAACTGGTGGCCTCTGCAGCCTGCGCTGGTCTTAGTGCTATCACGGCAATGCTGCGGGGCGGCTGCATCTGGCTGAAACCGAGCCCGAGTGTGAAAATGGGGCTGTAGGCACAAACCTGTTGTCATCAACGGGATGAAATGTTATACTGTGAGCGGGGAAAAAAAGTCCTAACCTCACCAAAGTGAAGTTTCTGCATATATCTGGGAGGTGAGTACTTTGTTCGTGAGGCAGTCTTGCATGTGAAATGAATTTTTATCCTTGTTTTTAAATGAAGGATTTTGAAATGAAGAAGAGAAAATACAATCTTACCACTTTATATGGAAATACAGGCATTTGGGAAATAAGTGCCATGTCACAACTTCATCATGCCTTGAAAGCTAAGCAGTTGAAAAGGTCCATTCACCCTCGTATTTGCTTGCTCAGCATCGGTCAGACCCATGGAGGCAGCTGCACCCTGCACGAGCCAGGGCTCATCCCTGGGAGCGGGGCTGTGCGGGCTGGGAGCTACAGCAGCTCTGAAGTGCTGGCATATGTTATACACCATAGCCTGCACTAAAAATTACCACCCATGTCATTTGGTCTCTTCAGAGGAATTTAATGAGGTGTGAGTTATTATATAATTTGATCCCAGGTTATTTGCAGATGCAGCCATTGTAGCTGAAACTCTTCAGCCAATAGATTCAGGTCACTAAATAGGTAGCCTTTTAACAATTTTAAAAGTCTGTAAATCATTTCAATGAGCTTAAAGAATACAGTAATTAAGAAGCAAAGAAATTTTAAAGCAGTCTAAAGAACATCTTTCACCCACATTTCTTGTGTCTGTTTTTCTAAACCATGCCTGTGCAACCATGCACATTCCTTCGCTGCAAACAAATCCTATGATATTGTGGGGCCTCAGGCATTGGCACATGTGGATACAAATATATAATCGAGATTGGATATGTTTAATTTGAAAATGAAGCCTCTGTAATGGAGCTGGAGCAGTAACATCAGCAAAAACTCTGCACTAGATCGCAATAAGTATTTTCTCAATATCTAACAGTCAGGTAAACAGGAATATCAAAGTTATCTGCAGCAATGCCATCTGGTGATTCTCAGTAATATTACACTTCTGCTTAAAAGCAAAACAAACAAAAATCCCAAGGAAATCATGCTGTGTGGCCAGGAGGTTAGAGAAGGACTGAGAGTTATCACAGTATATGCTAATTACGGTGCTTCAGCTGAGCAAGCTGTTTTCCTTCCGTTCGTTGGAACATCTGACCAAGAGGGATCTGGTATTTTGTGGAAAATCTCTAAGGGGCTGCCTAGCCAATTAAAAAAAAAAAAAAAAAGAAAGAAAAATGCAAACAACTAAACAACTTTAAAAATAGACGTGCCAGGCAGAATTTAAAAATAAAATCAAATCCTGTGGAGAAGGAAGCTGTAACTGACTGTATGCCAGCTGTGTCCAAGCTCTTTTGGACTCCTCGGAGCTGTCCTTTCAGAAACTGTTCTGTCCAAAAAGAAATAAGGAATTAGGATTTCAAATTTGATTTCCAGTTGAAGCTGGAATTGGTTGCTGGATCTGTACCAAAATTAAGATATTTCTGCAGAAGGTCTGAAGAAATATAACTAAGTTAAGGCCTACATGCAGATGTTGAACCTTAAAATAGATTTGAAGAGTGTAGAAAACTGTTTGACAAAGAATTTACATGGTTCATGTCCTCTGTTTCCTTGAGTAATCCTGAAATGCAGTCTGCCTTTGGATCCGCTATCAAATTGCTTAAACCAGCGCTTAAAGATGTTTTCCTTTACTAATGAGGAGCTGACCTTGGAGGAGAACACTGTTTCCAATTTCAGAGGCATCTGACTGTAGCTGGAGCAAATTGCATCATGCCTATCCCAGAAGTCATCTTTATGAATGTTAAACTCCACATCAGTTTACATGTGGTGTAGTTTTATGCCAACTGAGAACAGGAATTGAAATAAGTTTGATAAATTCCATTTTACCTTTTGGCTGTAAAGTCTGTATGTCCTGAAGACACATGGAACTTTGTGGCCTGAAAGACAGGGGCTACTGGAATAACTATTACACAGGCCCCTACTTTAAGAATACTTGGTAGCTACAGCTCGTTCGCAATTTAAGTGATGTCAGATGGTGGAATGTATTGCATCAATTTTTCGTCGTCCTCCCTGGTACTGCCTCTTTCATCTGTGTGATTATGAATATTGAATTTAAACTGTTTGGTCCTATCTGAGACACTGCTCAGATCTGGAAAGAGAGACGACCTGTGACATTCACCCTGGAGCTTGGTGATTTTGGTTTCTTTATGACAAGTGCACTTTCCCTCCTCGCAGCACTTCAGGAAAGTGCTCAGTCCTTGCAGTTTCAGGTAAGGCTCGAGGCGACTTGCTGAGCATAAGGGCACAGCGAAAGCTCAGAATTTCCTAAAGAGAAAGGGTGAGAGAAGGACTTTGTTTTGTAGGGTATGGCCTATTTATTTTTTCCACCTCTGAAAACATAAAGCTTAGAGGAGTTAAAAGTGGTCTCCAAAGTTATAAATGTGTTTCAAATGCAGGAAATGAAAGACTTGTAATACCCTTTGGTATTCAATCTTTGCTTACTATTCTTACTCTTCATTTGCTTGATATGCTTCTAAACTTTTGGGCTAAGGCTCTTAGTGAGGTAAGAATATGAGAAAGGTCTTAATCATTCAAAACTGTGATCTTAAAATGTCTTGAAGGAATGTGTTGTCTTACTTTGTAAACATTTCCAGAAGCACAGAACTACTCTGCTATTTTGTTCAGATAGCACTTGTGTGGTTGACTTCTCCAGTTGTCCAAACGACTTGGACATCTCCAAGGCTGAAAATGGGTACTTCACACTCCAGCCCCACTAACTCTGTCAATGTCCATGTGCCTCTCATGCTGGGGAGTGCCACACAGGGCACAGACTCGAGATGTGGTCTCACCAGCACTACACCTCCCTCAGACTGTGCTTTGGCAAAGACTGCCTGGCATGCAGTCAGCCGTCCTCAGCGCAAGGGTACGCTGCTGACTGCTGCTCAGCCTGCTGCTCTGCAGGGCCCCGCGGGCCTTTTCTGATGCTGGGAATAGGATGGCCATCAGACCTGTAGATTTGACAGTCTCAAATGAAACAGGAAAAAACATGATTTTTCAGGAGAAGGGGATCTTTAACAGAAATATATATGTAAGTGGGTTTAATGAGTATAGCTCTGCAGGGCCCCTCTTGTACTACAGCAATTCCTTTGGAGCCATTATATTTAATCATGTCAGTAATTCCCATTTCAGAGCTCAGATATGATGCATTAGGTACTGGATCCGGTAAATAATTACACATTTTCATGCTTCCTAAGTATGTGTTTATGCAACAGTCTAACAGTAATTGGCTCTTTGAAGCTACGGTGGACTATGGGGTGCATATATTATTAACCACTTTTTGAGACAGAGACTGCCTTTTTTCTTTAGTAATACCACAGATAAACCCAAATGAAATGTGGCAGCAAAGAAATCTGTACATTAAAAAAAAATACAGAAGCTCTGAAGTATACACAGAGATGTGATTGACGCTTTTTATTTCTTGCTATTACACTGATCTTACTGCACTGCTTCTTACAATGCTCAATAACAAAGCACAATGCAACTCAGATACTGGGATCTGGAAAATGCCTAATGTTATTTTGCAAAGAGGGACAGTCTAGCTGCCATTACAGTCTAACAGTCCCTTTTATCAAAGGCACACTGTAGGCAGATGCTGGTAATCTGTTCCAATGTTGCAACCTTTGTCTGGCCTCTCAAGGGGGAAATGGATGTGTTGGTCTTTGGAAATTGTTTTCCCTTACTGAATTTGGCTTTGGTCAGATGGGAGAGCACTAAATTGCATTCCACTTAAAATGCAGTAAGCCATCTGAGCAGAACAATTCCTAGTTGCTCTGATCAAGGATTTGAGCTAAGCTATCAGAGGAGAAAAAGAAACCAATAAATAATACCATGGAACCCTCTACTGTGACAGATCTCTTGCTTGTTCTGTTGAGAAAGACGCCTACTTTTTGTCTCTGCACAAAGACGATGGTGGCTTGATATGTGTTCTTTTTGCTGTAATGATTTTTCAGATTAATTCTGTCTTTAGCTAAAGTAAAATGTAGATCTGTATCCCTCTGAGAAGTTTAGATGGAATTCAGAACATTGTAATAGTGTAACAAAATACATGCTGGCAGACTCTTTGTTTAAACAAAGCAGGCTATTTCTGTTTTGAAATTCCTTGCTCTCAATTTCTTTTAACTCTCTTCTCCTGAACTTTGCTAAGAGTCAAAGAAAATGATGTACAACTGTGGCAAAAAAAAGACAGGGTCTTAGTAGACCAAAAATAAACCAACTATGAATAAACCCCAACCTATCCATGAATGACTAGCCCCAATCTGCCTGCCTCAGGAAGCCCTGAGAAAATCCACCGCTTTCCACTTTGCATGAAGGGTAATTTACATCCAAGTGACAGAAATAGCTGTGGCCTGGTGTCTTGGCCTTACGCTATCTTATCTCACATAGTTCCCTGAACTCTCGTGTGACGTTTTACCATTTGCTTCCTTAAAGAAAAAAAAAAGGGAGGAAGCGGGGGAAGAAGGTACTCAGAGAGATGGAGGTGGGGTGAGGGGAAGTATTGTGCCTGTGTTGGAAGCTCTGCTAGTGTGGTTCACAAGGCTGCGTGCTCTGATCTAGGTGAAGTTAGTTATTGTCTTGTTACATACTTCCAAGGGAGCTGTCTCTCTCCTTATACGTATCACTTTACACCATC